ACACTGAGTGGCCAGATTATTATGACCACCCCATCAGTACTTCGTTGGGCCACCTTTTGCCTTCAATACTGCGGCGATTCTTCTTGGCATTAACTCCACAAGATTTTGAAAGGTGATTAGAGTAATCTGACACCATGCCCGATGAATAGCACTGTCCAGTTCTGGAGTGGTTGTGGAACCAGCTGCCTGATGGCTCTTTCAACTTCGTCCCACAAATGCTCAATTGGATTGCGATCTGGTGATTGTGGGGGCCACCTAGGCAAGGTAAAGTCTCCCTCATGCTCTTGAAACCACTCCTGCACAATACGAGCACCGTGGCATGGCGCATTGTCTTGTTGGAAGAAGCCATCTCCATTGGGATACGCCATCAACATGATAGGATGAACTTGATCAGCAACGATACTTTGGTATGTTGTGCTATTCACATGTTGTTCCACACGAATTAAAAGGACCCAAATCATGACAGGAAAACATGCCCCAAACCATAACACTGCCCCCCACCAGCTTGAAGGGTTGTACTCATGCATGTGGGGTGCATGCTTTCATGCCGTTTACGCCAAATTCTCACTATGCCATCTGCATGATGCAACTGGAAACGCGATTTATCGGACCACATGACTTTTTTCCAATGCTCGACTGTCCAATCCTTGTGTTCCTGTGCGAATTGGAGACGTTTTATCTTGTTAACTGCAGGCAGCAAAGGTGTTCGAACAGGCCTTCGGCTTCCATATCGCATACAATGCAGTGTACGGCGAACAGTGCGTTCAGAGATCATTTGAGAGGATCCCTGAGTAAGATCTGCAGTAATTTGATGCACTGTTGCCCTTCTGTTGTCTTGTACCAGTCTTGCCACTCTCCGTTCTGCCCTAGCATTGACTAATCGCTGCGGCCACAATTCGCACGTTCAGACCCAGATTTTTGGCTGACAGTCCAGTCTTTAAACACTTTAACAGCTGCTCTTGAACATTTAACTAATTCTGCTGTTTTGCTGATACTCGCTCCATGGCTCCGAGCGCCAATAATTATGCCACGTTCAAAGGCTGTTAATATCGCGTTGTTTACCCATATCTTCAGAAAAAAAAATAACTTCTACTGTCGTGGTAAACAACCTGCTTCCCTATTTATAATGGTCTGGCCCTCTAGCAACTTCAGCGCAAAATTATAGCTAATTTGCCTACAAACGTCAGGTGGTCATAATAATCTGGCCACTCAGTGTGTATTAAATATACACACACACACACACACACACACACACACACACACACACACACTATGATCAGTTTAAAAAAAAATTACTTTTGGAGAAAATCCTGGAAGTCAGCTGGCAGCTCACTAGGTACTTTGACTGGATATTCTCTAACCACCTTTCCCTGACTAAGTGACAACAGCAGGAGGCCAAGTTTCCATATATCGCCCTTCTTGCCAGTTTTGCTTGGCAGGGCGTCCTCACTGAAACGGACTTTGGTCTGCTCAAAAACATCTTCTTTGCAGATGTCTGCCAGGCGTTTGGAAAGGCTATAGTCGGTTAGTTTGACTTTCCTGTCGCTGGTCACCAGGACGCCAGAGGCGCATAATACCTTGTGTACCACGGAATTACTGTGCAAATAATCCAAAGCAGATAAAAGCTCAGATGCGTAATGTCGAAGCTGGTCCACAGAAACCGGAACCTCCTGTTCAAGGAAGCTGGAAAGTTTATTCCCATTTACATGTTCAACCACAATGGCGACAGAAATTGAATCTTCGTTCTCTATCACTCTCATGGCAAGATAACGCACGATATTGGGATGATTAAGCTTGGTGAGGGAGCTGAATTCAGTCTCTGTACCTTGAATCTGATGGGCAAAATAAACATTATTAAAATATGCTCTTTTAACACCTCTCTCTGGTTAGGTTATTAACACCTAGCTGCAATTTTGCAATTGCAATCAACACCTGATTGTGACTAACAGATTATGTGGATTGGAACAACATTCACCATATTTATCCCCAGAGAATTTTTGTACAAGACATTCTGAATTTAGAAAGCTGGTTAGATGACCAGTGAAACGTTCTCAAGAAAAATACAGCAAGTCCAGTTGCCTTGACTTATTTTTTTTACAGATATACCATGACCTGGATGAATGAGAACCTCCACAGACAGTATTAAAAGAACTTGAAATATGTCATCAGGTTTAACCTGTGTGGGAAATCCAACTAAACCTTTAAAATACACCTTTAGCCTAATATAAAAAATATTTTTAACTGTTCACTATACAGGGAAATAAATGTTTGTATGACACTGATATTTCCTACCTATATGGGGTTACAGAACAAATGAGTGTTTCTTTTTTTAAGGGGGATCAAAGTAGCTACACTGTAAATTATAATTTGTTTGTTGAATATGAATGTCATTTTATGAACTTTTTTTAATCATACTTCATATATGTAAGCAACTCTGTAATCTTTCTCAAAGCAGGACTGTAACCAGGTACTTTCCTTTTAAAATAGCCCCTTTGAATACTGAGAGGCACATGTACAGTGCTGTAGCTGCTATAACATTTTTTTTAGAAATTGGATTTTTGCACGCACCATGAAATTATTTTCTCTGCGTTAATTGAAGGACACAACAAAGATTGTAGGATCTTAACCAATGGGTTATACTGCTACCTGCAGAAGGACGCTAGGCAAAAAAAATAAAAAGGTACCGCCTGGGTCGGCCCCTGCTGAGGGCCCCACATGCCAACACAGCCTCAGTAAATAGCGAGCAGTGAACAGCTCAATACACAACATGGCCACAGCCAACCAGGGCAGGTGCTGTGTCTTTCAATGAACACACAGAAAAAGATTTTATGGCGAGTACAAAAATCCAATTTTCTCTTCTGTTCATTGAAGGGCACAGTGAAAAATCAGAGGATCTTGACCACTGGGACATCAACATGCAGTGATCCTAAAAAAGCACAGGCAAGAGCAAACCACCAGGAGCGGAAGGAATCCCAGAAAAATCACACCGCAACCTTTAAGACCTTAGGCTCCAAACTAGCACCAGAAGATGCAAGAACATCAACTTTATAAAACTTGGTAAAAAGAATGAAAAGACCAAGTGGCCGCTTCATAAATTTGAAAAACAGAGAAAGGTCCAGGAAGCGCTCACTACCCTAGTAGAATGAGCACTAAGGTCGGAGGCTGCAGACCCAAAAAGATTAGACCTGTAAGATAGTCTAACGAATCCATCTGGAAATAGTCAATGAAGAAGCGGTCGGACCCTTGGGGGACCATCACGAAGCACCAAAAGAGAATCAGCTTTCGCCTCCAAATACGCCCTTAAACAATGTAACGCCTGTTCCTAACGGTGAACTGGCTTGGGACAGAAAGACGGTGGAACGACCGCCTCTTTTAAATAGAACACCGAAATTATTTTATGAAAGACAGCCTAGGGCGAAGTACCACCTTATTCTATGTAACACCAGAAAAGAAGATTTACAGGATAAGGCCGCCAAGTCAGAGACCTGTCCTGCCGTGGTAATGGCAACCTTCTGAGACAAAGTTGGTAAGGAATATCACATATATTTTTGAATGGTGGTTTCTGCAAAACATAGCACCAAATTTAGGCCCCACAGCACCACCAGAGGCCGAATTTGCATAACAAGCATCACACCTTGAAAAAAAGTACTCAAGGATTTAGAGGCCAAAGGTTGTTGGAAAATACATCCAGGGCTGATATCTGACCCTCGATACTACTGAGGGCCAACCCTTGGTCCACCCCACATTTAAGAAAAGCCAGTATCCTAGCCACCGAATAAGAATGTGGAGACACAGACAGACTCCACCAGGCAAATCCTAAGGCAAGAGGTAAGAGGCTTAAATAAAACAGTCTTTTGGAGGGGGGAACCGGGACAATCACCCCTTGAAGAAGCAACTCAGCAAAATCGCCCTGTGAAGATCCTGGAGCCGCTGGGGAGAGAGATAGAATGCAAAAAATATCAGTCTGGAGAAAGAAACTATCCTGAAGCCAGACACAACTCCGCTGACCCACTGTTCTGAAATGTGAGAGCCAAATGCCGGGGAAGCTCTGAAGATGACACAAACACACACAGCCCCCCACCCCTGGGAGAGAAGCAGATGGAGGCAAATTTTCATGCGGAGGTGGGCTTTTCAGGGGGCTTGGTAGTCTTTGCGTGTCAAGAGCGCTTAGAAGCCGGGAAGATGCTAGATTTTGAGGACTTACTGCCCTTGTCAGAGGAGCCTTGCAAACTAAAAAGCTGCTTGTGAGCGGAAACAGAAAAACTTGTCTTGCGACATGAATACCTGGATTTCCTGGCTTGCAGCAGGAAAGTGCTCTTACCTCCCATATGATCCTTGATAATTTCATCCAAAGTGGCTTGGAAGAGTCGAGCCCCCTGAGAGGGACGTTCAGCAAGTGCCGTCTTGGAAGCCTGATCTGCTGATCAACACTTAAGCCACAAAAGTCTGCTAATGACCACCGCCGAGACCGAAAATGTAGACACCAGAGAACCGGCATCCAAAGTAGTGTTACACAGATACTTGAGACCCCAAAAAAGTTGGCTCCACATAAGCAGGGAAGACTTTATCGCTAGCCGAACCAGCATGAAGAAGCTTCGTCCATTCCGTCAGCGTCTGGGAAACCAAGGCAAAAGACAAAACAGGACTAGGCAAGGTTCCAGCGACGGTAATCATCGTCCTGAAGTTGCCTCAGCCTTCCTGTCCGTCGAATGGAGAGTCCGGAACCGGAATAATGATAGGCTTGTTGAGTCTAGAATTTGGAATATCCAAGGATGGCGGAGTCAACCACTTTTCAAGAAAGGCATCCTTAAAAGGATAGCAGAAAAACACAAGAAAGAGCGCTACTACCCGATATTGAATGGCATCTATACATGAGAGAAGAAACAAATATATATGACTTACAGTTGGAAGTCTGCAAATGTGTCGAGGGTGGTGAAACAAGGAACGGTGTATAGAGGAAGTCCAAGACCAAAAAACTGCAGCAGTGGATGGATGAGGGAGCGCTGTGAAGTTACCTAGCGGCACGCGTGCACGGCTGGCCAGGCCGGGCCACGGCGGCTGAGGGGGGAAGGACCGCGGCGGTTGTGGAATCCGGACCGCGAGCGGCTGTGTTCGGTGCGTGTGTAGTGGAGTCAAATCGTTGGGCAAAGTGGACGCTGTGCACAGACGGGCTCGCTGTATCGTGGTGACTACGCGTTTCGAGGCACAACCTCTTTGTCAAGTCTTAGGGCAAAGATCCATCTTTGTGCACAGCGTCCACTTTGCCCAACGATTTGACTCCACTACACACGCACCGAACACAGCCGCTCGCGGTCCGGATTCCACAACCGCCGCGGTCCTTCCCCCCTCAGCCGCCGTGGCCCGGCCTGGCCAGCCGTGCACGCGTGCCGCTAGGTAACTTCACAGCACTCCCTCATCCATCCACTGCTGCAGTTTTTTGGTCTTGGACTTCCTCTATACACCGTTCCTTGTTTCACCACCCTCGACACATTTGCAGACTTCCAACTGTAAGTCATATATATTTGTTTCTTCTCTCATGTATAGATGCCATTCAATATCAGGTAGTAGCGCTCTTTCTTGTGTTTTTCTGTTTACCATTCGAACTTGCAGGGTCCTCTCCCTGCTAGTGAGAGCCTGCACACCATAATTCATAGCCCGTGTTTTTTCCCAGTAACCAATTATCAGTTGTGCGCTTATGGTTTTTCGTTTTGTTTCTTAAAAGGATAGCGAAAGGAAAAGCTCTTTGGAGCCGTAAAGGACTTAGTTGTTCGTTTCCATTCCATTGTAAAAAAAAAAAATTATCGAAATAGGAATGATAGGAAAAAACCTTTATAGAATGATTAACCTTGTGGGCACTGTAAGGTACTGGAGGTTACCCGGAAGTACCTGGAACATCCTCCATCTTAAGAGTTTCCTTTACAGATTTAGTCAGGGCAGAGACCAGCTCCTTTTACTGAAGGATCGCCAAAGTAGAAGCCTACTCCTTGCTACCCGACAAGTCATGTTGAACAGCTTAAGTACCAGGGTCGTCATTCTCTACTGCAGTGGTTCCCAACCTTTCTAGTGCTGCGACCCTTTGATAACAATGCCCAAGTTGTGGCGACCACTAACAGTAAAATTATTCTCGTTGCTCCTTCATCGCTGTCATTTTGCTACCGTTAGATAACGGCTCCCGGCTGCCCGGGAGAGAAATACTTTCTCCCTGAAAGGTTTACTCTGCTCGTTTGAGCAGAGTAAACCTTTCCCTGCTCTGGTTTTTTTTTTTTTCTCTGACATCAGAGCCATCAGTAAAAAAAAAAAAAAAAAAACAGCATAGGAATGCATAGCTGGATTCCTATTGGTTATTTCAATTTGCAGTATCCAATAGCAAGCTGGCTATTGCATCCGCCCTCTGCTGCTGTCAATCACTAGAAGGGGACCTGATGGAGAACTTCAGGTCCCCTTGTGCTGATTGACAGCAGCAGTAGTTTGCTATTGCAAAGTGAAATAGCCAATAGGAATCTATGTATTCCTATGCTGTTTTTTTTTTCCTTCCTATTTTCTGACGGACGGCGGCTCCGATGTCAGAGAAGAGAAAAAAAAACCAGAGCAGGGAAAGGTTTACTCTGCTCGATCGAGCAGAGTAAATCTTTCCAGGAGAAAGTGTTTCTCTCCCGGGTGGCCAGGAGTGGGAGACTCCCGGAGCGCCCTGGAGAGTTGGGATGTCTTTAGGCGACCCCTGGCAAATTGTCATTCGACCCCCGACGGGGTCGCGACCCACAGATTGAGAACTGCTTCTCTACTGGAACATCCTCCTGAACATCCGACGCCACCGGCAGGGAACCAGGGGCGG